ACCATACCAACTGCACCATAACAGGCTGATATATTCATCTGAGGAGCAGCGTAGGGCCAAGGCTGCAGTTCTTGGTGCTTGTGCGCCTCAAATGGTTCCTCATAGTTTTCAAAGAATATTCTTCTTTGTGGAGACCAATTGTTCCTTGAGGAAGGACCCTCTCCAAAGAATGGGTACACATTCAGTCATTCGCTGGGCAACCATGGCAACTGTCAGCTGATCCTTCCATTCCAGAAGAAGCAAATAGGAGATGGAACGTGGTGATGTAAAATAAGAAATTAGGGTAATGGGTATTCTGATTTTTTCTTTCAGGGGTGTTCCAAGTGTTAAGTGCGAAAAACAGAGACTTCATCAACCTGAATATATGTGAGGTAAGCACCTAAAAGCAAAAAAAATACAAACAAATTGCAATTAAGATGTTTGCAGAGAGAGAGAATGCTTGGTTATAGGATTTTCACTTTGATGCCTCACTCTTCTCTTCTCTAAGTCCACTTTCTATGGATTCAAATATAATATCACACCATAGGTCCAGCTCATTCCCAGTGCAGGTGCTGCATAGCGGCACACATCCTAAGTAATGCATCTTTATTTTCTCTAATCAGGAAACATACAAGTACACAAACCCAAGAATAAATCTTTTCAGACTACCTCCAGAACAGTTTAGAGGGGATCACTCCCTATTTGTACCACACGGATATCGAATACAGATTGGATCAGATATCTCTACACAGTCCTAATATTCACCAGTATATCACCTTTGGAGTACCTAGCATTTCTGAAGTTCTGCTAATGTCAGATGTTCTTCCAGACATTTACATATTGATACTGAGCATGAAGAGTTTGAAATCTTGCCACTAGAACCTTGACAAATTGACATTACCTTTGCTCTTTCTTTATTGTTCAACTCCAAACCCAGATATTTGCAAGTCACAGGACCTCCCCTTTCCACTCATTCACATATTGATACTGAACATGAAGACATTTTGACTGACATTTTGGTATCAGAACCTTGATAAACCAGCATTGTCAACTGCTAACATTTGGTCTTTCTCTTTTCCATTAGTTTATCAATTTGACCATGAACATCTGAAGACATCAACCTGGTTTTCTCTGCCAGTCCCCAGTGTCCCTCTGAAGTCACATTTGTCCTTTGTCCTAGATCTCTTAAAATCATGTGGGCCTTTTGTAGTTTTCATACTTTCTTATATTCACCCTGATATCAGAACTACATTTTTTTAAAAAAACATAGATATAGATAAGTACCAAATCTGTGTGTATATTTACTGCACAGGAATCATGAATATGTATTTGAATAAGGTACGATTTATACACACTGAATGAGTTGTCATAAGCAATCACTGCCTCTTTATGAAAGATAATTATTTCAATTGCTGGTAAACTTGCCAGATGGGTGAAATACTTTGTGTCCTCATTTTGTTTTGTCAACTCTTGTCCATATGTTTATGAGAAAAGCAGACTGCAAATTTTCGCTGTCATTAAAGGGCTGATGAGTTTTGATGATGGTGGAGAAGGAGTCCACATAAAACAAGGCAAACTACACAAATGTAGTTAGGGACAAACTATATGAGATGCCAGTTTCACAACTAGAAGCTAATAAAACACTATCTTCTCTCCCCCCCAAGACATATTCTTTAAAACTTGCATGTCTACACAATCTACTTGCAAATGAAGTCCTTGATTACCTCTAGATGACCAATCACCAAACAAAAACAAAGAAATGTGCAGCTTTCAGAGCTATAGGAAACCTTGAGGTAGGAAAATCGAATGTCCTTTACTTCTTAAGGAGGCTCTCCTCATAACTGAGAAGCTGAGAAGGTTGCAAGTGGTGCATAGTTGTTCTACAGATAGAACTGGCCTGTTTATATCTTTAAAACCCTTGTAATAGAGGTAGAACTATCTGTACACCTCTGTTATGCAGGTAAAACCACAATCCTAGGAGTCTGATGGGCAGAATCCTATTAGTTACGTAATTATATCAATGTAAATACAATGGTGTAAACTGCAGTGAAAAATTGCCACTAGTTAACAAGCTGCCAATTGTATCTATCGTTATGCACCAGTTTTGTGACAACGTATACAAGGAGCAATTCTCTGCTCCACTGCACTTAAGATGGCATAATTAGCCAGTAGGATTCTGGTCAATGTATCATATACTTATGCATCCTATTGAATACAGCTGGAATATTTCAGCTCATTTACTCTTGTCACTGCAGGCCCCAAAGTCCCTGATATTGCTCCCTCTAAACCAATTAGGCGCAATGAGCACCAGGATTTTCCATGTGGCTTTGCTACACACACTGTGCTTATTGATATGACAATGCAGTCAAATACAACCCATCTCACTCTTGTGCTTATGATGCAGGGGGATTGAAAATACAGCACAGTCATTCACCATTGCCTGGAATCCATCAGGATGGGGAGTAAAAGTTCACTTGCACATTAAAGTCACAGAGACAGTAAATTATCTCCTGTCTCTTTTGGGATTCCAACCTCTTCCCAGCTTTCTGTTGCTATTTATGTTTTGCCTAGTAACAAGAAAAATGAATAATCAGGCTCCAAAATACACTGCCAAACTCACTGTTGCCCCAGTCTTACAAAAAAAGCAAGCAAACAAAAATTGTACAGCTTCATTTTATTATTTTCTTGCAAGAAAACAAGTTTTCTACTGTTTGCAAAAAACAGGGCTAAAATAGACATTTTTAAAGATATAACTAAATCCAGCTGCTAGTCCCAGCTAGAGTTAGACACATTGAATCAATTGATGAACAATGAATTAACTGTTATGTAAATCCTATTGATTCAGTGAGGCTGATCTAGCTGGGGCTACCAGTTGGACTCAGGCCATAGTCATTAGCTACATCTTGCTTCATTGAGTTATGATCTTAGCATGTAATCTGTTGACACATATTTGTGAGACAGAGGGCGAGAGGGATACCCCACTCACTGGAGAGCCATCCCTCCTCAACAGAAAAACTAAGGAAGAAAATCTCAGACCCACATTAGAGCCTACAGCGAAATCTCAGCAGGAGACAAAGATAGAGGAATTGACAGAAGACATGCAGAAAGTGATGATGGGGGAGGTTCAGGGAGAAAAGGTGGGAAAAGAGAGAAAAAAGAGGGTGGAGTTTGAAGAAGGAACAGGGGAGATAGAGAGGAAGGAAGAACAGTTACCACCCGGTTGGGAATGGATGTGGATGCAGGATCCATGGACTGGATTGTGGGAAAGGTTTAAGGTTCCTAGAGAGGAGGCAGATTATAGAAGGAGAGCAGAGATTCCACCTAGACCCTCTTATAGGGGAGAAGCAGAGGCGAGAGAGTGGAGGAGGAGACTGAGAGTGGATAAAGAACAAGTAGAGAGAAAAAAGAGAGAAAGATTGGAATGGAGAGTAAGGGCGATGAAGAGAAAGAGTTACAGGGAGGATCCTGGGAGAGTCAAGACCCTGATGGACGGATCCTGTGGGATGATGACTTGGACGAGGAGACCGTGCCCCTGCTGGAAGGCCTGACGGGGCAGACCGTAGGAGACTGGGTCCCCACTGATTTACTGGGACCATGGAACAATAGTTTTAGAAACCCGTTCCTGTTTGAAGAATGGAGACCCCTTCTGGACCCGTTGGGTCCTGATAAAGAAGACAACTCAGTTTGGAGCAGGTGTTTTGTGATTATACTTGATAATAAAGGCAGGGGGGAGGTGAGGCTGCCAACAGTATTGTTAGAATATTGTGCAACCTGACCCTCATTTGAAGTTTGGCAGAAGCAGCATCTCCATTTTAGGCCACACAACACAATTAGACATCTGAATGCCACGATCAGCAATGCAATAATGTTGTCTTCTGTATTGTGTAACCAATTAGTTTGTGCTGCTATGATCTAATAAAATTCCCTGAAATGGAAGCAGAATACCTTACTTGTTCTTTGTGCCTTGATTAATGGATATCTGAAATATAGTTTACAGATAGATAATAACTGTACTTCCATTTTAGATTGAGGACAGACTGCCTAGCACCAGAAAGCAGTAGGTTTGCAATACTGATTTGGTTTATTTTCTAGAAGACAGGTGTTACCAAAATAGAAAGAAGGTCAGGTTACCAGGTCCAATTGGAATCATAGCTTCCATATGTTAAAACTGGATGTAAAGATGATATAACTGTTGTAGAGTAAATGAAAGGAAAGATCCATGGGAAAAATTTCAACAACATGGTATATAAAATAATCTAGCAAAGAACTTGTGCAAAGAACTTGCCTTGAAATTCTGGGCACTAACATTTGTGAAAAAAGATCTTATTTTGTCATCAAATTGTCTAGTGTTCCACTCCAGGAAGCCAAATTTAGGTAAAGGTAAAGGTTCCCCTTGACAATTGTTCAGTCGTGTCCGATTCTAGGGAGCGGTACTCATTCCCGTTACCAAGCCATAGAGCCAGCGTTTGTCCGAAGACTGTTTCCGTGGTTACATGGCCAGCAGGATTAGACATGGAACGCCATTTCCTTCCCACCGTAGTGGTACCTATTTATCTTCTTGCATTTTTACATGCTTTCGAACTGCTAGGTTGGCAGGGGCACATTAGATCTTACCAAAACCCACCTGGGACTGCACTGTCACCACTTCATTTTGCTGGTATCTGTCAGTATAACTCCTGCTGCTTAAATTTAGATGCAACAGCAGCATCCTAAGGTGCAAGAGTATCCTTTTGCACCACAGAGCCAGAGAATCCCTTCTCTTCTGAAAGGGAAGGCAAGAATTTGATTATTATTATTTTCCCGATGGTGGCACTCCTACTGATATTCACTTGCTTGTTGGCAGCAACATTAAGATGCCAATGTTGTTTACCCCTCAATTAAGGAGGCTTGAGACCAGAGTCTGAAATATTTCTCCTCATCAGGGTGAAGGAGTCTGGTAGATTGGGTCAGTGAGAGAAAAGGAGGCAAATGCACATGTGGTATAAGCAAGGCAGTTGAATTTGCTCACCCTGGTTGCTGAATCATCTCTTTAAAGCAGTGGACAGCTGGAATATCAATCCATGTACCAAACAGGGAGATTTATGTGATCCAAAGTGCACTTTACTCCTAAGATAGGTTTGGCTGAAAAATCTTGCAAGTGTTTTTACAGCCTTCTGCTGGAATCACAACTCTGGATTCTCTCATTTGAAAGACCAATAACACAGCACCTGTATTTCTGTTGCGTACACTCTCCCCACCCCCATATTGAATTTGTTCAAAATGGACTGTAACTCTTTTGTTCAGTGAGGCAGGCTTATACACCTGTTTTTGATCAAACATTTAAAACTCAGCTTCCCTTGGCTCAGAAAGACACATTTTATGTGCCTGAAATCTGGAAGAAATAAAAACAGCTCTGAGAGACAACAGAGGGAATCCTTTCAAAGAGAGGGGAATTGTTTTCACCCTAACAGGGAGGCCCTTCAGAAAGTCAAACTTCATACTAATACAAAACAAAACAAAACAAAACACTTTTTGTAACAAGCATGTACATATTTTTCCTCTTGTTTTTCAGTTCGCAAAGAAAAGTTGATGGCTGAATTCACAGACGTCTTAAAAAGAAAACCAATATTTTTCTTTTTTAGAATATTCCACAATGTTCTGTGATAATTATGGGTTGAAATCTTGTTACGCAAATGGCATAATTTGGAAGCAAATAGTTGTAGAATAAGAAATCTCCAAAGATATACAAGGGGGTGCTGATAAGTATTGAGCCTTTCCCAGAAAAAAATTGAGCTAGGAAGCTATAAATTCAGGGTGTGTTGGCCAATTTGTCTATATTCAATGGTGCAAAAATCAACTACCTATGGTTTTAACTTAACTTTCATTTTCCGGTCCAAAGTGAACCATGGTGGCACCTCCAGAAAAGTTCAGTGTGGAAGAGCATAGGACCATAATCAAGTTCCTGTTTTTCCAAGGGAAAGGTGCAAAGCAGATCCATGATTAAATGTCACAAACTATGGGTGACAGTGGCCCTTCATATGCAACAGTTAAATGTTGGGTTGTCAATGTTTAAACTGGCCATTTCAGCGTTGAAAATGAGACACCCAATGGAAGGCCTGTTTCTGTCTCTGTGCCTGCAAATGTGAAAGCCATCCATGACATGATATGGAGGACGGCCGAATATCAGCCAAAAGTATTACTAGATGTCTGAGAATATCCCGTGAGAGAGTTGGTGCCATTATCCACAGTGACTTGGAAATGAGAAAGCTGGCAGCAAAGTGGATCCCCAAACTTTTGACAACTGAGCAAAAGAGGAAATGTGTGGAATCATTGGTGGCTGTTCTGCAACATTTTGCAAGAAATGATTCAGATTTCCTGGGCAAACCGGTAACTGGTGATGAGACATGGATCTACTGTTATGATCCTGAGACAAAGGAAGAGTCTAAGGAATGGAGGCACAGTGGTTCCCCCAAGCCAAAGAAGTTCCGAGTGCAAAGGTTGGTGCAGAAGCAAATGGCAAGTTTATGGGATAAGAAGGGAGTTCTGCTGATGGACTACCTCCAACAGGGTTCAACCATCAATGCAAAATATTACTGTGCTTTATTGACAACGTTGAGGCAAAACGTCAAGGAAAAATGTGAAAGCTCTCCAAAGGTGTCATTCTGTTGCATGACTACACCTCGTCACACACTGCAGGTGAAACAATAACAAAATTGACGTCCTTAGGCTTTCAAGTGATGCCCCATCCACCTTACTCTCCCGACCTGGCTCCTTCTGACTATTATCTGTTCCCCAAACTCAAAAAACACGTAAAGGGATAACGATTTGGGAGTGTTCTGGAGGCAACTAATGCTGCAAATGAGTGGTTACACCAGCAGACGGAAGAATTTTATTTGCAGGGACTTAAGAAGCTGCAGGACAGATGTCGCAAGTGCATTGACTTCGTGGGAAAATATGTAGATTAGTGTGGCAGTTACAACTTCCTAGCTCAATTTTTTCTGGGAAAGGCTCAATACTTCGTAACCTGTCGCATGCCAAGTCACATTAGTCAGTATGGAACAGATAATGTCCATGGAGCTTTTGTTAACTTAAGGCAATTCATTTCTAAAAGTTATTTCAGCCATTGCATCTTTTCACTGCTTTAACATTATGGTTTTCAAATATATTTCATGTTTGATTGTTGTGGACAAACTAGAAGGCTAGAAACTTTTATTGCTGACACCAGAATAATGTATGAACACAGGGACTGAGGAGGTCTTAGATTTTTATGTGCAGAAGCATTTGCAATAGGAGGAAAAGAAGGTTAAAGAAGACAAAAGCAGAAAAACAGAGAAAGGCACACAGGGAGAACAAAGAGAGCATCTCCTCACGGCTGGTTTTCCTCTCCCACCTCCACCGGTGCTTCCCGACTTAGGAGAAACTCATACAATGAGTTTAATTATGTTTTAATCTTTGTGACTTACTAGCTGAAATCCTGTTATGGAGCTCTGTCTGTGCAACAAGAATGACGTTGTCGGCAGTGGTGAATCATTACTGATTGGAGGCTTCCTCTGTGCAATTTCAGGACACATGCTACTCACACACAATGTGATGAAGTTCTGTGCACCCTTAGATCACGAAAGTAGACTTTTAATCAGAAGCAATTTGCCACTGATGATGATGT